CATGTACTTTCCTGCACCTAACTATTATTATTATACTTATACTTGACTGCAGGTCCATATTATTAATTATTATTATTAATATCTTATCTTTAACAGTTTATTCTACATTTATTCTTTCTGTAAAGACTCAGAACCTGAACTCTGAGTAAAGACACTAAAGTAGAGTCCAAAGTGAAGTTTAAGTGCTTTAAATGAAGTCATACATGTGACAGTAGAGAGTGACGTCATCAGGACTCACCTGGGATGTTTTCTGCTGATCTGTCTTTTAACGTTATAAAGCGCGGAGGTTGCACGCGACCCGAGCTTCACATGTGAAATGAGTAAATAAATAAAATACATATTTTCATGTCGACGGTAGAAGTCAGTGCAGACACTTTATAGCTCGTTTGAACCGTTAGAAGTTCGTTTTTTACACGCGTTTAAGGATCTAACGACAGGATTTACGACACGAAAACCGTAGCGTCTTACTTTACGGCAGTAAACAGTTAGCGTCTTACCTGCTAGCCTGTGGAGCCGCAGTTAAAATGTATTTATAGTTCATAAAACAGACATTTAAAGACAAACAGCGGCTCGTCTTAAAGAACTAAAGTTCACCGATTAAAGTTACCTGTTTAAGTTCAACCGGAAGTAGAAACAACGAGAATAAGAGTGGTTTGTGTTCCTCGTTTAGTTTTAGAGCCGCAAGTCAAAACTTCCACAACAACGTATCTTCTGTTAATTTAAAGTATTTACAAAACATTTGACCAATGATGTTCAGCATCTCTCAAATCAGGAAACGCCCCGGAACAAAATAAACCAATCAGCATCTTTCTACGATCTAAAGTGACGTACCTACCGGACCTTTAACTCAATCAACCAATCACAGCAGTGCATCTTTAAGTGCGCTCCACGTGTGTCTTATTGACAGCTGCTTTCATCCAATGGGGAGTCAGCACCGTGAAAACACGCTGAGTCTGTGGCCAGTTAAATTACCTGCATGACCATATAAGGAAGTGAGCGGAGCGGGACTTCCTGCGGTGGTGAGACTCCCACACAACAGAGAAACTGTATTTATATGTTTATGGAGGCGTGATTCACGCATAATCAATACGTAAATCTATATTTAAATATTAACTACATATTATAATAGCCACATTGAACACTCAGGGACATTTCTTTAGAATCATAAAGATATTTATTGTCATTATTTGGTAACTTTAAAACTGTTTAAGAGAGCTCTGGAGTCCTCTGCTGGAGATGCTCTGTACTGCATTTTCTAAAATATCTCAGAGACGCTTCTGTCAATCAACCTAAAATTTGGTACAAACATAATAGACACGTTGAGGGAGAGATCCTGTGAATTTCAGCCTGATGGCCCTTATTAAGACTGATTTACTGTATTTAAAACATGAAGTGAAAGCAAAAAAACAAGAAAGCTTCTGTTTTGTCCTGTTTATTATTTTACCAGTGAACTCTTTCAGAGCCTAAAGTGAGATCAACACACCGAATGAAACCCAATGAGTGTTTTCTTCACAGTCATGTAATCTACATGCATCAGTTCCTCGTGGTCCTGATGTTATACAGATTAAAATGTGTTGATATTAAGAGACAGAAATACACAAACTCAAAATGAGCCTCAAGAGGTTAAGACAGGATCTAAAAGGCAAAACAGAACATGAGTCAGAATGCGTGTGAGATATCATCAGACAATGAAACTGAATGTGTTTCCATGTTAATTTAACAATTTATTTTTCCATCTGAAACTGATTAACGTTCACAGATCTTACAAGTGTTCACATCAGATTTCATCAATAGAAATCTGATGCGATTTCATTTCAGAACATGAGCGGACATCTTGAACGGTTTAATTAAAGTACTCACCAACAACGAGCTCAATGTAGAAAGTTTGAGGTGTCTGAAGACGTGGAAAAGCACAGGTGTAGTGTCCACTGTCGGCCATCTTGGTATTTGTGATGATTATGGAGGCGTTCCCGTGTTTCAGTTCATCTTCAAAATGTGAGACTCGTCCTCTGAACTGCTCACTCTGACCATCTTTACCGTTGTTGTAATGAACACCTGCATTATAAAAGAAAACCTCCTTCTGACGTTGACCTTTCTGAGCTACTTTCTTCCAGTCAAAGACAGCTGCTGTGATGTCCTGCTTGTTGCTGAGAGAACAAGGTAAGATCACATCACTGTCTTGTTCCACTTTGATGACTTCTGGTCCTGGAAGATAAAAACAAGCAGAGTTTCAGTTCAGACAGACGAATGGAAGTTTGTTGGAACAAAATATCAACTTATGATACAACAAGACACTTTTCACTGAACTCTGAGTGAACTAACTCTTGACTCTGAGTTACATAATCCTGAACTAACCCTGAACTCTGAATTACATAACCCAGAGTTTTCCTCATCTCAGGTTTAACTAACTCAGAGTTTTCTCTGAAACAGAGTCCTGTAGTCATTCACACCGTCAACATGAGACGTTTCAGCAGCACATTTAAAACATGCAGGGACTTCACAGGTGAAACACCTGAGAAACCAGAGGCATGCTGGGTAAAGTGAGAG